TTTTTTCGTGATTTTCGAATATCATGACGAAATATAAAAATAGGTGTCTTCTTTTTTCGACAAAGAATGTAAAAAAATATATTTCACCCCAAAAAAAAATTGAGGTGTAAATATTGTATGGAATGACCCATACATAGTTTAAAACCAAGATCATAGCATTATTTAAACACATAAACAAATAAAGAAAAACTTTATTAAAAAAATAAGTGATAGGGTATTAACCTTATAAATGAATTATAAACCGTATAAACTTATAATTGTGTAAACCTTATAAATTGCTTGTCAAAATTTGTATGGAAACCCGTTTACATATTTCTGAAAAATTTCTCCAGCGATTTCACTGAATAAACTTCATAAACTCAAGCCAATGCAACCCTGTTGCAACTCTAGCTGTGTTTTCTTGGGCAATAATCGGGGTCCACATAAAAATTTTGCATGTTAAATATTTATTTAAATAAATACAACCTCGTCTAAATATGATTTTTTCCATTTAGTGAGGCCATTTTTTAAATTTCATAATCCTCGTGCTAGTAGTATAAAATTACTGATACTGAGCTCGATGACCAAAGAAAACACGACTGTTGTCGCAAGTGTAAACGAAACAGAGTGCATAAATTTATAAGAATATCTGCTTGATAAAGTTCAGTTTAGATGATGCAATGATGTGTATAAAGTTAGCGAAACAACATCAAGCAAAAAATGTCGCATGTACCCACGAATTTGCCGTTTTTTTGCCGTTAATTAGTTGTGGAAAAAATAATTTTGTCGCTCTAGTATTTTTTTAGATATAAGGTGTTTTGCTAACTTTATATAAAGTTAGCGAAGCACCCCTCCAAACTCAAAGATAAACGACTAGGCTTTATGTCAAAATTTTGCCGTCTTTGCCGTTCTAAGATGAGCTAGTTTACTTTTGAAAAAAATATTTAAAAAAAAAATAAAAAAAATGTTTGCAATTTTTTTTTTCAATGTTCAATTATTTTTAGAAGAAAAGGATAATAATATAATAGAAAAGCAAACCCGGTTTCTTTATGTACCACTTTGAAATTTAAACAAGCAACAATCACCATGGTTAAAATTCAAAAAATTAAGAAGCTTTCTGATCACAATCAAACGACAAAATCAAAAACAGTTTTAATGCACAAAACAATTCAAACGGCAAATTATGCAACAAAAAAATTAATTATTTTTGTTATTTTAACCAATTTTTAAACCGTTTTCTAAGTCCCTTTTCTTAAATAAGGCTGTTTAAACAAAAAACAATTAAACGACAAAATCAAAAACAGTTTTAATGCACAAAGCAAGCCAAACGGCAAATTATGTAATAAAAAACTTAATTGTTTTTATTATTTTTAACCAATTTTTAAACCGCT